AAAACCCGGTGGATTACAGTTGTAAGTTTGCTCTTGATAAAAGCGTTTCCTACTGCCGAAACATGCGTCAAGCCTTTTGTGCCGATGCACCTTCTTTGATTTCAATTACGATTTAATTACGACTTTTTTTGCACTCTTCAGAACGGGAGATTATGACGGCACTTTTGCACCCTAGTATGTAGATGAATGCAGGTAGATTAACCCCTTAAGGACCAAACTTCTGGAATAAAAGGGAATCCTGACATGTCACGTGTCCTTAAGGGGTTAAAGTAGGGGGCTGCCTTGAAGCAGCAGGTTGGGAGGAGTGTGTAGAAGGAGGGGATAAGGGGATACTTTACTCTTTAGCTTGGATTTAGGCAAGTATATTCCTCAGTGGCGTACACATGACCCCTGGGGCCCCGGTGCTAAAATTGATCCGTGGGCCCCCCGCGCGCGCGGGCCGGACCGCAACACATGGCGGTGGGCACCTGGTCACAGGGGTTACAGGGCTGCGACCCCTGCGACCGCGGTATGTACGCCAGTACATGCAGATGCACACACACTTAAAGGACCACTCTAGGCACCCAGACCACTTCAGCTTAATGAAGTGGTCTGGGTGCCCGGTCCAGCTAGGGTTAACCCATTTTTTCATAAACATAGCAGTTTCAGAGAAACTGCTATGTTTATGAATGGGTTAAGCCTTCCCCTATTTCCTCTAGCGGCTGTCTCATTGACAGCCGCTAGAGGCGCTTGCGTGCTTCTCACTGTGATTTTCACAGTGAGAGCACGCCAGCGTCCATAGGAAAGCATTATGAATGCTTTCCTATGTGACCGGCTGAATGCGCGCGCAGCTCTTGCCGCGCGTGCGCATACAGCCGACGGGGAGGAGAAGAGGAGGATCGGAGGAGGAGAGCTCTCCACCCAGCGCTGGAAAAAGGTAAGTTTTACCCCTTTCCAGAGCTGGGCGGGAGGGGGCCCCTGAGGGTGGGGGCACCCTCAAGGCACTATAGTGCCAGGAAAACGAGTATGTTTTCCTGGCACTATAGTGGTCCTTAACACTATAGTGGTCCTTAACACATGTGTATCATAGTGATGTTTGTATATATTATAAATATAATAATTTGTACGATTAAGTTTGTGTGTGTGTGTATGTATGTATATATACAGATATAATACACATAAATTAATCTACATTTGTGAAAATATATAGATGCATAATACTCCCACAAATCACATAGATAAAGCAAAACTATTTTATATTTATTTTAAATTCAATCTGTTATTTTAAATTTAAAACAAATAAAAAAAACACAGATATAGACAGACACATGGATTTTTAATTAATGGATACTCACTGGCACACACAATGGCATGTAGTAACTGATGCCCACACATACACATACTGACATATACTCATCAACAGACACTGACACACAATCACTAATGCAAACATATTTCCTGACACACACTGATTCATACTGACACACACACACACACACACACACACACACATTGAGCCATATTGACACACACTTCATAAATACACACCAAACACACTCACAAATACAGCTTCAAACATACACACACTCTAAGAATCTGTAAAATGAACATTAAATACCTGGGTGCCACTGCCCACTGAGCCCACCTTGCTCCATGATATGGTCTGTGCTCAGCTCCTTGCCAGCAGCCTGCTTGCAGCTTTCTCACAGGCAGGGCCGCCATCAGGGGGTGACAACCTAGCGGCCCTGGGGGGCCCGGCAGCCCGGGCCCCACGTGTAGCGGTGGAACTGCTGCGGGTGCAGTTGCACTGGGGCCCGCACGCTGATGGGGCCCATCGGGTAGCCCACACACTTAGGGCCGCCCTATACAGGGGCGTACCTAGAGCATTTGGCACCCAGGGCGGACCCTGAATGTGGCACCCCTCCCTCCCCCCCATCCCATAATAAAAATTTAAGAAAACACCCACAATTATTTTCAATATTTTCAATAATATTTATTGCACAAATTTGTAAACTGTATATCAACTTGAAAAAAATGGAACTATGAAAAATAAATTAACTTAGAAATAAATTAAATTTAAATAATTAACATTTACTTAACAGCTAATAAGCTTTCTATAAACAAAAAAACACACAGATCCAAAGTGACCACTCAGTCTATTTGGCAGAGGTAATTTTCAATGATTCACATCCTTCTTCTTCATCATCCTCAGAGTCTTGCTGATGCAGGCTTCTGCTGGCATCTCCTTTGTCTACATCACTTTCACCGCTTGAAGATAAAATGATCTTCTCCAATTCTTGCGCTTTCACATATGAAGCTTCTTGAGAAGATACTTCAGGCATTTCACCTCTGGATTCAACAGACTGAATGTCTTCAGCACTTTCTCCAACTGCGGTAGATGTTGAAGGTGCAACATATTTTAAAATTGATCCAGACATCGCCTCAGCTGACTTTTCTCTTGCCTTCTTAATTTTTCGTTGCTGAGACCCGCTGGGTCGATTTCGCTTCATATTGGTGTTTTCTGCAGAAAAATCCTAAATTTATTTTGGTTCTAGGGTTCACTAGTGCAATATCCATCTTATATTTCCCATCTTGGCATACCATTTGTAAAAGTAGACAACCCAGGGTATTTAAAGGGACACTCAGCTCAATGAAGTGGTCTGGGTGCCAGGTCCCCCAGATTTTAACCCTCCAGATGTAAACATAGCAGTTTCAGAGAAACTGCTATCTTTACATAGCAGGGTTAATCCAACCTCTAGTGGCTGTCTTCCTGACAGCCGCTAGAGGTGCTTCTGCGACGCTGGATGCAAAAATTGCATCCAGCTTGCAGAACGTCCATAGGAAAGCATTGAGAAATGCTTTCCTATGGACTGTTTAAATGTGCGCGCAACTCTTGCTGCGCATGTGCATTCGGCTCCACTCGGGAGCTGACGTCGGCGGGGGAGGAGAGGTCACCAGCGCTGAGGGAGCCCGGCACTGGATTAAGGTAAGTGGCTGAAGGGGTTTTAACCCCTTAAACCTATTCAGCCACTTACCTTTCTCCAGTGTCGGGCTCCCTCGGTGCTGGTGACCTCTCCTCCCCCTGCCGACGTCAGATCCGAATGCGCATGCGCGGCAAGAGCCGCGTGCGCATTCAAACTGCCCATAGGAAAGCATTACTCAATGCTTTCCTATGGACGTCCAGCGTCTTCTCATGGTGAGTTTTACAGTGAGAATTGCGGAAGCTCCTCTAGCAGCTGTCAGTGAGACAGCCACTAGAGGCTGGATTAACCCTCAGTGAAACATATGTTTTCAGCTGCAGGGTTAAAACTAGAGGGACCTGGCACCCAGACCACTTCATTGAGCTGATCCTTAGAAATAGCATAGGAAAGGGATTTGGGTTCAAAAGATGTAGCGGCTAGGGCAGAGGTTTTGTAGAAGGGGGCCAGGGCAGGGGTTTTGTAGAAGTGGGGCCAGTTTTGTAGAAAGGGGCTGGTGAGAAACTTCTAGAAAACTCCTGACCTGCCCCTTTCTACAAAGCCCCTGGTCTCGCCCCTTCTAGAAAACACCTGCCCTTCGCCCTTCATATAAAAACCCTGCACACTGATCACATAAATTTCATACATTCCCTACACATAAACTGATTAACAGCAAGGCTTTTGGAGATACTTTTATAACCCTTTCCAGCTTTATGCAAGTCAACAATTCTTAATCGTAGGTCTTCTAAGAGCTCTTTTGTGTGGGGCATAATTCACATCAGGCAATGCTTCTTGTGAAAAGCAAACCCAGAACTGGTGTGCCTTTTTTATAGGGCAGGGCAGCTGTAACCAACACCTCCAATCTCATCTCATTGATTGGACTCCAGTTGACCGACATCTCACTCCAATCAGTTCTTGGAGATGTCATTAGTCTAGGGGTTCACATACTGTTTCCACCTGCACTGTGAATGTTTACATGGTGTGTTCAATAAAAACACAGGTGTGTTATTAGTTTAAGCAGACTGTTATTGTCTATTGTTGTGACTTAGATGATGATCAGATCACATTTTATGACCAATTTGTGCTGAAATCCATATCATTCCAAAGGGTTTACATACTTTTTCTTGCAACTGTAGGTGTATAGAATATGTGTGATATGTGTGTGTATTGACTGTGTGTGATATTTGTGATTGTTTTTTTAATTCAGATTAATAAACAATGCATTTAGGCCAAATGTGTGAATGCAGGCGTGTATTGCAGTGTCATGTTCCCACAGTCCCACAGTCAGACACAATGCCAAATACAGCCACATGCACACAGTTCAAGGCACTTAGTCACTCGCACACAGTCACACACACAGTTACAGGCAAACAATCACAGGCAGAGAGTCACACATTCAGTCACAGGCAAACAGGCACTCACACACACAGTTAAAGACAGTCATACACACTCATACAAACACACAGTCACAGGCAGACAATCACACACAATTACAGGCAGACAGTAATACACACACAGTTACAGGCAGACAGTCACACACAATTACAGACAGACAGTCACAGGCAAACACACACACAACCACAGACAGACAGTCACACTGTCAGATATTTTCACTGTCAGACATTTTTTGATAATTAAAAATTTATCTGAGGGCGGTACTAGCAAGCAACCCAAGCAAACGTGTCTCGTATGAGCTCCAAGCTTCATCTCTTCAAAAACAGCTCCCCGGTATCCTACTACCCCAGTCAGACTGGGCATGAAAATGGGAAACCGCACAAAAAAACAAAACCTCACAAAGGGCTCCAGGTCCTGCAAAATCAGGGATTTTCTGCTGGGAGGCCCACAATAATCGATATCCAAAATGGTGCCACAACCCATGACCAATTCCTCATCTGTGGAGAAATAACCCATGGATGAACTCTATGACATCCCCAATGGAGGGGGCCTACACCATTCCTCATCAGATGAGGATCAAAAACCCGAGCCACCAAGAAGGATATCAAAACGCTCCTCCGAGACATCCGCAAGCTCGAACTTGCAGATCTCAACATACTGAAAGAGGAGATGCACGCAATAACGGGCAGAATTAAAGCGGTGGAGAAAGACACACTGGACCTGCAGGCCCAAAAGGTGGCCCTATTCACCAACCACGAAGAGCTATCACAGGCTCAAGCAACCATGGCACACCACTTATCGACCACAAAGACCAGAGTCAACGCAGGAACCTCAAATTACGGGGTGTTCCAGAAGCAGTGACCGACACAGAAATGGCACAATACCTCCGTCGACTCTTTAACCACCTTCTGCCACAGATACAAGCAAAAGGCATTGCCAAGAGACCATGGGCCCTTTAAAAACATATGTGATTTATGTACTTTTGAACTCCAGAAAGAGAGGCTGACCGTTAGCCCTAATTCCCTGGAACTGTTTTGGGTATAGGACCATATGCACGGTCGGTCAAAACTATGACTTCCATGGAAATCCTGAACCGATCTGGGTGATTTTTGGATATGTTGGTCCCCCAGATCAGGGATATCAGGGGATTTGTGGGGTTTCCATTTGTTTTGGAGGTACCTTTGGGGGTGTTTGGGAAAAATTGTGTTTTTCTGTGCTTGGAGATAATTGGATTAGATTAGTACAGTTTGTGATCCAATTATCTCCCAGGCACAGAGGAGGGATTATCTGATTATGTATGGGGATGTCCTGGATCTAAGAGCCAATGTAATTGTGTATTTTTTTTTTCTACTGTGGTTTACGGCTGTATCTACCCTGGGGATTGCTATATCACTATACTCCCCAGGGATTATAATCACTTGTTCTTTTAAGAGCATATTTCTACACTCTCTTTGAGGAGAGGTCTACCCCCTGGAAGCTGGATCCTGGTCTTGGATCCAGGGTGGGTGGAGGACAGTGAAACCCCAACCAAGCTGTAATGCTTGAAGTGGGTACTACAGTGCTGATGGTGTCTGGTGCAGTGCTTGTTGTACTCAGTAAGCACTAAGGAAGCAGCAATTGGCAGAGGCTTGGGTGTCAGGTGGTCCACCACATCTGGTGGCAAGCAGTGGGATGGCTTCCTAGTGAGTATAGAAGCATACTGGAGACACCGTTTGGATTTACAAATTGAGGGCAATGCTAGTATTCGCACAGCTCCCCTGTCTACAACGGTAAGGAACCAGCTAGTCCCCAGACAGTGTTCGCATACGAGGAGGAGGATGACCCAGACTGGAGGGATGCAGTCCGGAAAGACGTCTGGTATGAGGCCCTGGAGGGTGTACAGTGTCACGGGACGAGAGTCTTCCCAGTGAAGAGCAGCGGTTGCAGATGTGAGTGGCTCTGCAAATGTCTCTCCTTGGAAAGCAGCCCCTGGATGAGTGGGTGACGGAACTTGAGAGCCTGGTATGGAAAGAGCTGTGGCTGGACGACGCATACCAGGCACTATGGTGGTACACGGTTCGGCATGTCCCCTGGATGGCTGAGCATGACAGGCCCAAGGGTGAGGATTACAATGGCCCTGGCCTGTTGTGGGAGGCCTTCGCAGAACCGGAGTTCGGGAGGGTCCCGATTCTGTGACATCTATGATTACAGGGAGGGCATGCATGATTGGGCTCCTGCTAACGAGGTGAGAAAAGACCTGACATCTCTGGTGAACATCCGCCACTAGTGGTAGCACACATTTCCTCCCCTACTCCAAGAAGACTAACCAGTTACTGTTTGTCTGACAGTCAAGAAGCCTGCCCAAAAACACCCAGTAAACATTGTAGCCTCCTGCGCCATGCTTCATTCTGGCAGTTCCTTGTTGCTTTGTGGGTAACATCTGTCAACCCCGGTGTCTCCTGATAACACGCACTAACGACCATCTCTACTCCCACAAACACACTCTGCCGCTTGGGAGTGAGACCAGCTGTCTCCCCTCACTGTAACACACTCTGACGCTGGGGAGTGAGAGTGGCTGTCTCCACTCCCAGTGATGCCTCCCTGTAGCACAGTCAGGATTACTAGTTGATCCAGCACGTAAAACTGTCACACCTAGGACTAATAAGTAATGTCTTACCGGGCCTTAGAATGGCCAGACTTAACGTACCAGAGAATAGTTAGAATACTTGCCGAAGTCAGGGACACAGAAAGAGATACAATGATGAGGGAAAGCCATAAGTCAAGGATACCAGAATACAGGGAAGTCAAACGAAGCCAAAGTCAATAACCAGACATAATCAGGAACGCACTCTCGGACAACCGCTAAGGAAAATCATGAGAGGGCAATGAGCTGAAGGAAGAGATGAGCTTAAATACCCCTCTTGTGGATTTGATTGGCCGTAACCATCCTATGACCCCAGAACGTGTGTGTGTGTCTTTTGCAGTGACCGGCGGACCATTAACACGCTGCAGGGGTCAGACATATTAAAGCATGGCCGCTGAACGGCACTACCGCACTTGTTGGCAAGGCAATCATTATTGATGTCGCAAGGTGAGGATGAATATGTTACAAACACACTCTGCCGCTGGGGAGTGAGACTGGCTGTCTCCACTCCCAGTGGTACACTCGGCTGCTGGGGAGTGAGATTGCATGTCTCCACTCCCTGGAACACACTCTGCCGCTGGGGAGTGACACCGGCTGTCTCCACTCCCAGTGATGCCTGTTGCTGGGGAGTGAAACCGACTGACTCCACTCCCAGTAACTCACCCTGCCGCTGGAGAGTGAGACAGACTGTCTACCTTCCCTGTAACTCCAGCTGCTGCTGGGGAGAGAGACTGGTTGTACACTGCATTGTACACTGCTGAATGGAGTCGAACGGTCGTCTGTAATCTTGCTTCAGCTCCCATTTCAGGATGGCCAGATAGGTTAGATCTGGCCCCAGGTCGGCAGCTCCATGAAGATCAATAAGGACATCCCTAGCACCGTGGATGTCCCAGAGTTGAAACTCTTCAGGACTCCCAAAATCAATGTCATCCTCCAAGGCCTTCCACAACAGGCCTCACCCACTGGCACATCATCCTCTGCCATCCACTGGTGAAGCCGGGTCGTGTACCACCCTAACTCCCGGTAAGCCTCATCCACCCACAGTTCCTTCCAGACCAAGTTCTCAAGTTCCATCACACACTCCTCCATGTGCTGCTCTCCCAGGAAAGGCATCTAAGGAGCCACTTGTACCTGGAAATGCTGCTCTCGGTTTGGGAGGCTCTCTCTCTGCCGAACCTGAATGTCCTCCATGGCCTCGTACCAGAGCTCCTTCTGAATTGCATTCCTCCAGTCCAAATCAACCTCTTCTGAGACAGGGCCATGGATCCGGCATGTGCCCTAAAGCATATCGAACAAATGTGAAACAATCTTCAGATGCTGAAACTACATGCCTCTGCATTAAAATTGTGTGTTGCCCAGGAATACAGTGGGCCACCCAAGTTTGTCTTTTAAACCTCGCTAGTCGGGCTTGCTAGAGAAACCTGGATTGGAAGCATAATTGGATGGGTCCTCTTCGAAGGACAAATTTGTGGTGTGAGACGTGGTTGAGCAGAAGCTTCCTGTGACATACTGAAAAGAAGATACAAGTAAAATTAACTGAATACATAATCCCCCACATGTTTGTAGCACTGGCTAACTAGTTCCTAAGCGAAAAACTAACTACCCCGTGACAGGTGAGGCCCTGCTAGTTGCCAAGATGCAGAGGCCCGTGGGGCTTGAGACACTGAACGTTGTGGCGGGGTGTTGGCCTCTCGGTGACAGTAAAAGATTCAAAGCGTGTGACTGTGACAGGTGAGGCCCTAACTATAAACTCAAAAGGTGGGTGATGAGAGGCTATATCTATGATGTCGGCCGATTGGACGAAACCTCCGTGTTGAGGTGGGAGTTGGCCTCGCAGGACTAGCTAACATACGTTAAACTAAAGCCAGCACCTTACCCAATACAACCAGTTCTCTAACCTTAAATGAAAGCTTGATAAGAAAAAAAAATGAGGACGAACAAGGATAACGTATCTAGCCATCACAAATTGTGACTTCTTAAAAAACAAGAGGTAATAGATGAGACATAGAAAAGTAAAATTAGCATAATCTAATTACTATAGTAAAAAAGTTAAAATTAAATAGTGCAAACAACTAACCTATTGTGTGACAGCTGTCCGAGAACCAAAAGAAAAGGAAATCCTAACTATAAGATAAGGCTAGGGACTAATGAAAGTTTTTAGAAAATTGGGCAGACTAGATGGGCCGAATGGTTCTTATCTGCCGTCACATTCTATAGAACGACAGGACCTACATGTAAAAATATGTATATATAAGTGTACTAGAGACCCACCAGACAAAGTTATAATTTTTTATAAATGCATAAGGACAGATAACTATTGTAAATCGGGGTGGCTAGTATCACCAATAACAGAAGGAACTAAGGAAAACCTAAAACAAAATTAATAGAACATGATTATCCCAGACCAAGAGAAGGTGGGCATAGTATCCATATTCAAGATTTGCAGATAATTGAGACAGATGTATTATGGATTGATCGTGTAGAGCCGTGGCCTAACGAGGCAAGTCAAATAAATCAAACCCCCGTTCCCTAGGACCCCTTTGGATGTAATGTGGCTATAGTGAGGCTGAGCGCAGTAATTGGGATACACGAACCATGTATAAGTGATATGAAAGGAATGAACTCAAATATACCTTTCAAAAATACAGTAGATAACTAAACAGACAGGAAATACAAGGATAGCTCATTATTTAATTTGAAAGACCAACAATACACACCGCAACCTACTCCTACGGCCATACGTCAATATCTAGATAAACTGGGCCTGCCAACTTACAAGAACACCAAATAACACAGCTTAAAGCACCTATTACTACAGAAGAGATAATAAAACATATAGATGGAATGCCTAAAGGGAAAGCACCAGGTCCTGATGGATTTACTAACCTGTATTATGTTACATTTAAACATTTATTGGCTACAGCTCTTACTCACTTTTTTAATGAAGCTACAAAAAAGGGGAACTTTACCGCATGCCAAAATTTTAGACCTATATCATTGCTTAATACAGATGCAAAGTTATACGCAAAAATATATGCAGAAAGATTTAAATCCATATTACCTAGTTTAATACATACTGACCAAGTGGGATTCGTGACAGGCAGTCAGGGTCCGGATAATACAAGGAAAGTATTGAATATCTACAACATTGTGAAATTATCTAAACAAAAAAGCATTATTTTATCTTTAGATCCTGAAAAGGCCTTTGACCGCCTGAACTGGCATTTTCTTTAT